ACACACACACACACACACACACACACACACGGGTCCTGGCACGGGTCTATGATCCCCCGTCTCGCGATGCAGCCAGGAGCCACATGGTGCTTGAGCAGTGTGGGGTGTGGGGCCAGGAAGGCAGGGAAATGGCTGGGGTGGGGATGGGGCATGGCTGGGCTGCTGCCTCCTGCTGACAGCTTCCCCTGGGTCCTAGTGCCCCTGGCTCCTTTCAGCTTTGACATTCAGCCAGGAACAGATAAATATTTTCTAATTTTTGTAGGGGTCCTGTGGGCTGGATAGAATAGTCTTGCAGGCCAATTGCAGTCCACAGGCTGTATTTTGCCCACCCCTGTTATAGAGTCTCTATACACATGCAGTGAGGCTGTTCCAACATGCTGTAATTACAGTGCATTGGAGCAAACCCAATTAATTGAGTCTGCTGGGGTGTGGTAATTACTGTGCTCCAGCAGACTCCAGTGTCACATGCATCAGCATCCCCACACTGAAAACTGATGGCAGGGGTGCTTTAACCAAAGCTTGTCAAACAAGCTTTAGTTAAAGTGCCCCTGCCACCATTTTTCAGCATGAGGACGCTGATATATAAGATGCTGCGGGAGCTTTAATTAAAGCAGCTTTCAGAGCCACTCTACTTAAAGCTCTCCCCTTCCCCCCATTCCTGGAGCACATGTATGAACACCTAGTTATTTAACTCTTGACTAGATTAAAAATTGCAACTGAGTGAAAATTGCAACTGGGTAGCAAGTTCTATAACTTTGCTAGTGTGAGATGCAAACTGATTCCTGAGAGTGGCCTAATATGTCCTTATAACATCTTGGTCCTGTTCTTGTACAGATGAAAATATTTAACCCATGTCAAATCTCTTGTAGGAGGAGTAACAAACACTGCGCAATACCAAAGCAGGCTAATGGTCTATGATCCGATGCAGGTGGGTTTTTGTGTTGTAGGTGTTTGTATATATGTATTTTGCATGAACATTTAATACAAATATGTATTAAAGAATTCCAGCAGGGAAAAAACAAAACAAAAATACAGCTATAGTTCAAATTGGTATGGTTCTCCCCCTATGTCCTACTGCAACAAATGAGATCTGGAGAAGTGAAAGTGGGAATTGGGCCCACTGTCTTACAAAAAAAAGCCTTAACTGTATTACTAGGAACAACTGAGGTTAATAAAACTGCAAACGTGTAAAACATCACTTATCACTGATGTACTTATCACCATTTCTTCTGTTTGTTCACTTTTTGCAACTGATTAGCCTCAGGCAATGCAAACAAACTTCTTGTTGGTGTCACCGGGTCCTGGAATGTTAGCACTGGGGTAGCAGGATTTGTGCGGCACATAATACAAGAGAGTGCTGACACTCTGGCATCTTTTCATTGACATTCACACTTTCTTTTTTTTAATTCCATGATAATAGTTCTGTTCATGTTCAGTTTGGCAACAATTTTTGTTCCTGAAAAAAACATAATGTTGGACCCACAGTTTAAAATGGCCTTTGAAACTGATTTGTTGAAAAGCAATCCATTACACAGATTAAGTTATTTAAAGAAAAAGAAAAAAGAAGTCACACCCTTGTAGGTATTGGTATTATGTGCATCACTTTATTAATCCAAGCCCCTAAAATGTCTTATAGGAATTATTTCACGCATTATGTATGTGGGTTTGATCAGGTTAGAGTTCTTTAGCAGCAGTTTCAGAGGCTTATGGCAGTTATATGCTCTTTTTCGCTTGTATTAGAAAACAAAGGCTGCCTATACACATGCTCGGAGGTGGGGGGAGGGGGGAGGAGTTGATTAGAGTGGTTCCTGGACAGCCACTCTAATTAAAACATGTCACCATCATGTGTATTAAGCCCCTGCACATTTAAAAATGGCCACAGGATACTAGCTAAACCTCATTTAATGAGGTTTCATAAAATGCCCTGTGGCCATTTTGAAACATGGGGGCTTAATACATATGACATCGCAGTGACACTAGGGCATTCTAGTTAGAATGTGGAGCAGACTCAGTTAATTGAGTCTGCTCCAACATGTTTTAATTAGAACACCAACAAGCGCATGTAGAGGGAGCCAGAAGTCCCAATCCTGCTTCACTTTACAGACAAGTGTAAGATTCTTGACCTTCAACTGCAGGAGATGTGCCTTACGTTTTATATTTAAAACCAAATTTTGACAGCAGGTATTTACACATGACTCCCATTGACTTCACCTACTGTGCCTGCATCCAAGAGCAGAATATGAGCTCCAGCAATCACAAGTAACAAGTGATTTTTTTTGGTTTTTTAATTTTACAGTTTTAGGGATAGAACGTGGTATTTATTGGTTAGACATACAGGGCATTTATACATGTTCTCTGGGAATGGGGGGCTGCTTTGATTAGAGTGTCTCCGAGAGCTGCAAAAATGGCAGCAAGAGCACTGAAAAATGGCAGCAGGAGTGCTTTAACTAAAGCTCATCAACTGAGCTTTAGTTAAAGTGCCCCTGCTGCCATTTTTCAGCATGAAGATGTTGATACATGTGATGCTGGAGTCTGCTGGAGCACAGTAATTGCCAGACTCCAGCAGACTCAATTAACTGCATCTGCTCCAACTTGCTGTAATTGCAGCATGTGGGAACAGCCTTGCTGCATGTGTACAGGCGCCCATGAAGTTTCATTCTAAATCCACGTGCTCATGATTCAGACTTGTCATTTTCGCATGTTGTTCCCTGTTTGGTGTGGGTGTGTGTGTGTATGTGTGTGTGTCTTGCGTAGATTTGTTGAGTTGCTGGTTTGTTTTGAAAAGCTGCACCCCAGAATGTAAGGTTTGGAACAGCTGGCCATCAGAGGTGGTTCAAACACCCACTTTGAACACCTTCAAGAGCAAATTGGATGCTTATCTTGCTGGGATCCTATGACCCCAGCTGACCTCCTGCCCCTTGGGCGGGGGGCTGGACTCGCTGATCTTCTGAGGTCCCTTCCAGCCCTAATGTCTATGAAATCTATGAAATCTATGACTTGGCTACCACCATAGAACTTGCTAATTGTGAAAGCCCAAGTCTGAAACAGAAATAGTTAAAGCGGGGAGAGTGTGTTAGCATTCTTCAAATGAGGTCTGCTTCATGTTTGTACACACATGTTCTTTTTAAAAATTCTGCTGGCATATTGTTTAGGGTGGGTACTGGAAAATATCACATCTGCTTGCTTCTTGCACAGAATCTCAATAACTCTATCATTCAGCACTAGTGCTCGTTTCTGCGCTAGGCCTTTGTGGAGAGTCGATAATGCCTGCCATCTGCCACAGAGCACACAGCTACCTGCCAACAAGCAGGCTGGGGTGACCTCTGCTTCCCCACCACTGATTAGTATTCACACACTGACTTATTAGGAACGACCCCACCAGGCCCCTCTGTTTCTTTGCCTTTGCAGTGCTTTGCGGCTCACCTGGCAGGCACTGCAGTGGAGGAAACTAAAGATATAATCAGGGAATGCAGGCTAGCTTTGCAAAGCAGATGGTGTCTATAGTCTTGTGTCAAGGGACTGGAGTCCTAATGCAAAAATTAATTCCTAATATTCAACTATTATCCATTGTAATGTATAGCTATATATTATGAAGCCCAAAAGGCAATGTTATTAGCACTTATTGAGCACCAAATTATGGGATATCTAATATAAGGAATTGCCCAACAGATTCCTTTAACTTCCTCTTCTATAATACATTCATCTTTGTTTGCTGGCAGGTGGTTTTATCTTTAAAAGTAGCAGGACCAGTTGTTTTATGACCTTTAAAATGCCATGGTGTTTTATCTCCTCAAAAAGGAGGAAACCTCTTGCATCTTCTTCTTCCTTCCTTCCTCCTTCCTTGTTAATATATGTTCAAAATTGCTCTTAAATTATCCTTTCAAAATAAAACAGATCAAAACATATTGAGGAGTAAAGTAAAGCTGAACATGTTGCTAGGTTGGCAAGAATGTACAAAAAATATTTAATTTTTTACTTATTCCTTCACTTCTGAAGTATAAAGCCCACAGAATTTTTAAATGAATGGGGGAAACCCCATCTCTTCCAGTGAAGGCACACATCATTGTTCAAATTTCCAGTGCTATAAAGCTCAGAGGCAAGATCAAAAACTTTGCTGTTGAAGCACTTCAGTCTTGTTTTTCTTTTCTTTTTTTTTAAAATAGTGAGACAGGAGAACAATTTCCAAAGCTTACAGACTTTCAGAAACAGTGCAGTGATTTCTTCAGTGCAGATACATTTATTTTAACATTTTATTGGAACAGTTGATAAGTAATTTATACTGTTGTTCAAAGCTTTCTCCTGATTAAAATCTGTCCATGAGAAATTCAGATTCACCATATGTCAAAAAATTTATTTTAGAACATATTGAACATCCTTACTTCATTTTCTATTCCAAAACCAAAGTTCAGAGGAGTTTATAGTTGAAAGTTAATGTGTTTAGGGCTGCCAAAACAGACTGTTGTATCTATGAGAGAAAACAGACCCTTAGCTCACTGTTCTCACTTCATATCACCATTTGCTTTTCATGTTTCATCTATGTAAAAAATAAACATTGGGCTGTTTGTTTTGGTTGACCCTTTTTTTTTTTTCAATCAAGCCAGCAATGTCTGAAGTGTAACCAAAGAAAATATTTGCAACTAAATTGCAAAGAATGAGAAAAGCTGTCCCAAAGAGCAATAGTAAATTACAGCACGAGAAAGATTTTTCGTAAGATCTGTCAGGTCGGCTGCAGGCATTGAAGGCTAGTACCTCCATTGTACTAACTTGCCTCTAGCTGTATCTTCCTGCATGATTTGTGGGTGGGCAGAAAGAGAAATACAGTGATGTGTGTGTGTGTGTGTGTGTGAACATTGCTGAGGATACTTTTTGGTTTTGTTTCTAGAATAAGTGGCTGAGCCGCAGCCCCATGTTGCAGAGGAGAGTGTACCATTCCATGGCTGCTGTCCAAAGGAAGCTTTATGTTTTAGGTGGGAATGATCTGGATTATAATAACGATCGAATTCTCGTACGTCACATAGACTCTTACAACATTGACACCGACCAATGGACACGCTGCAGCTTCAACATGCTGACAGGCAAGTCTGTTTGCCAGAACACACTGAAAAAAACAAAGTTGGGGGGGGAGGATATGTAGAACTGAAAAAATACCATATTTGCCCAAATCCAAGATAGTTTTGAATTTGAGACAAGCCCCCAAGAATTAGATTCTGTACTTGGAAAGCATACATGTCTTCAGAAGGGGCATGGGTAGCAGGGGGCCCAGACAACACATGAGGGAGACATGGACTTGAGGGGCACAGGCATTAGATTTTACACATGGAAAATGTTTTAGATGGAAATGTATTAGGGCTCCTGCAAACATGCAAGGAGCCTGCTCCAAAGCACTGTGATTCAAGTGTGTCGGAGCAGACTCATTTAATTGAGCAGACAGATAAATCGAGTCTGCTGGAGCATGGAAATTAACATGCTCCAGGAGCCTCCAGCATCACATGCATGTGTCCCAGCACTGAAAAATGGTGGCAGGGTGCTTTAAACTAAAGTTTGTTTAACAAGCTTTAGTTCAAAGCACCCCACTGCCATTTTTCAGCACAGGGACACTGATACACATGATGCTCTGGACACTTTTAATTAGCATGGCTTTCAGAGCTGCAGTAATTAAAGCCCCCCCCCCCCCCCGCCGCCATGCTTCCCAGAGCACATGTATAAATACCTTTAGATTCTGTATATAGAAAATGTAGAATTTTGTTATAATTTTCCATGTCTAGTATCTAATTATTGGAGGGTTGTCTTAAATTCATCCCCCTCACTGCTACAGCAGGGAAAGCAATTGTGGGCAGGGGGGCAAACAGCCTGACCCCAGTCCCTTGCCCCTTCTGCTGGTGCCCCTCCACCACTTGTCTCCTCTTCTCCTTGTCTTCCCCTAGTGCCAGCATGTCCCAGGGTCTGCCTGAACCCCCCTGCTGCCTGTGCTTCTTTCACCTACCCCCCACCACCTCTGCCCTTCATTCATAGGTTTTGCTGGCAGCAGATCTGGCCCTGGGATGCTGGAGCTGCTGCCACCCCTGCCCATTTTGGAGCTGGAGCTATCACATGCTCTGTGCTATGGGTCAGAATGGGGCCTGAGCCATGACTGATGGTAAGCGGGGGGACGGGGAGGCAGAGGCTGTAGGGGTACAGAGGCTACAGGGAGCAGGTAGGGGGGCAGAGGCTGCAGTGGAGGCAGGCAAAGGTGGGGAGGGGAGTAGGAACTGTAGCAGCTGCTGGTGCTCCTCTTCCACCTTGTACTCTAATCCAAAGTGTGAGGCTTTTTTCCCCATTTGAATGGGGAAAAATACCTTGCCTTGAATTTGTGTGTGTGTGTGTGTGTGTGTGTGTGTGTGTGTGTGTGTGTGTGTGTGTGTGTGTGTATGTATGTGTATGTATGTGTGTGTGTGTGTGTGTGTGTGTATGTGTGTGTATGGTTTTTCCTCTTTCAGAATTTTTTTATACCGGTGGAACTGTGTGGATTTCAGTGGACTCGTTCCTGAATTAGGAACTGTTCCAAAGCCCACTAATGTCAAAGGAGCTTTTTCCTTCCCTGCTCTAATGAGAAGAAAATCGGGCACAAACTGTTTATAATGAGAAGGATGTTTTAGTAGGTTGTGAGCTACATTTATTGAAAGGTGCATTTAACTTGGATTATTTTAACAACCAAAAATATTCTGTGGTAAAATGATTAAATCTCATTTCCCTTTTCACTAAGCCCTCAGTTGCACCAGTTAAAATCATTTATGTTTTATGTGCACAAAGATGGTCCAACTGTAGCTCACACTTCTTGAAAATGTTGTTTTATGGGCCTTCTTCTGTTGTTCTGTAACAGTGTATTTATGGAGATCTATAATTGCAATTTATTACTGCACAATAGCATCTTAATAAGATGCCAGAAAGGGGGTTGTTTATTAGAACTAAATCAAATCAGAGATGAGTTGATTAGCATGGATGGCCGCTGAATTTGCAAAGTTCCTCTTGACAATCATTAGGGACCATTCAGTATCAGCTAGCAACGCAGAGCACCTCATTTATCACTGCCAACTGTACTATGTAGACCTCTGATATGGCACTCAGAAGTACTGCTTAACTGGAAGTGCCCAGGGGGGTGGCTAGTATTATGCCAGGCAGGTAACATTTCCCACAAGCAAATGTAAGGATTCTGCCTACGGAGTCACATTGAATGATGCATTTTCAGATCAGCATTCTAGAAAAGCTGTGGTCATTCCTTCAGGTGCCTGGTTTGAACAGTTTTGTAAAGTGGCAGTTTCTACCCATCCAAGAGCTGGTTCTGGCTTCTGTTCACTCAGCTGTAGAGACTTGGAGTAAAGCTTGTTCGGTCATTGCTTGGAATCTTTTTCAGTGGAGTGCCCCAAGGGTTGGTGCCAGGGCTGGTTTTCAATATCTTTATCAACAGCCTGGAAGATGGCATAGAGCGCACCCTCAGCAAGTTTGCAGACGACATCAAGGTGTGGGGAGTAGTAGATGTGCTCAAGGGTAGGGTTGGGATTCAGAGAGATCTAGACAAATTGGAGGATTGGGCCAAAAGAAATCTCTTGAGGTTCAACAAGGGCAAGTTCAAAGTCCTGCACTTAGGAGGGAACAGTCCCATGCACCAGTACAGGCTGGGGGCTGACTGCCTGGGCAAGCTGCTCTGCAGAAAAGGATCTGGGCATTAGTGGACAATAAGATGAGTATGAGCCAACAATATGCCCTTGTTTGGAAGAAGGCTAACAGCATAATGGGTTGCATTGGTAGGAGTGTTGCAGATCACGGGAAGTGATTATTCCTCTCTGTTCAGCACTGGTGAGGACACATCTGGAGTACTGTGTCCAATTTTGGACACTGCCCTGGTTTAAGCCCATCTGCAAGATAAACTGTATTAACACCCCCCTCCCCCCCTCCCCGCCATGGCTGTGTGAGTCTTAAGGTTATTGCGGTTCATTGCCAGGACAGAGGAACAGCAATGCAACTTGGAAGGATGATGTGTATAAATGACTGTGCTGCACATCACAAGAAACATCTATATACAGCTGTAGTTGTTGCAGCCTTTGGGACTTAACGCATAGCAAACAGTTATCTCTGGCTATTGAAGTGGCTGCAGCAGGTAGTCAAAAGGTCTCATTTGAGTCAAGGTGTGTTCTGTTACCAAAAGAAACCTAGACTGGCTTTAGCAGGGGAGGAGCCAAACCCTCTATTAAATGCAGTTTATTTTCTATACTCATTTAATTTCTTGCTTTTATTATCTTAGTGTTGTTAAAAGTAGGGGGACAGCTGTAGACTAAGAATCCCTACCTTTTTTAAAGAAGAGGCACAGCTTGAACTCTACCTAGTGCAGGGTTTCTCACTTTGTGGGCTTCATCCTGTGCCTTTAAAAGTTATGGGACCAATCACATGGTCTGTGTATCACACCTGACTGGGCAGGACCAATTTTGAGGATGAGGGAGAAGCTGTCTGCATGCAGGTGCTTGACTTGGCTGTTGAGAGGAGTTAGTTAAGGCTCAGAGCAGCCACTCAGGGAGCCCTTTAGGACTGAAATGTCCCACCTTTCTTAAGCAGACGGCCGCTGCTATTCCAGATAGACGTGAACTTTGAGCACAGGAGCAGAGCAATGTTAACACTGGTGGCTTTGCTATTGTTCGTTTAAGCCTGGTTCTGGATTTCTGCCCATGGCTGCTGCAGTAGACCAAGCTGTAAATGGCCTGGCATTAGCCATATCACTACCTTGTGAGCCTTTGGTTTCAGAAACTGCAGTGCCTTAACCACACCAGCATGATGGGCTTCTAGGTCCAGCTGAACCTTACCTGTGAACAACATCTGCCTTTTACCTGCATTTCTTATACCAGGTGAGAGGGCACCTTGGCCCTCTTGGTCTCTCTCTTCTTAGTGTTTATTACACATCTGCAGCACATACTTTTAGTGGTAAATAAGAATACAGTAAGCTGATTTCACAAGTCAGGTGTTAGTATCTGCTAGTTTTTACACTGCTGAAGCCATTGTTTTTAAAATGTATGTTTCAAAGTACATTTTAAAATCATATATTCCTTTGCAACTGCAAGAACACTAGTGTTGGTGACTGGGGCTTGTTCACTGTGTTTTTGGCAGTATTACTGCCCTTCATTACATCATTCAAACTCCTTTTCTGCAAGTAGCATACGAACAGCACTTCCTTTTAACTGTTAGGAATCGGTTGCTCTGAAACTTAGTTTCTACCCAATCTACATGCATCTCATAACAGAAATCTCTGACTTTTGGTGCTAAAGGGGTTAAATGAAGCATGCAAGTGGTTTCTTTTTTCCCCTTTGCTTTAGGTCAAAATGAATCTGGAATTGCAGTCCACAATGGAAGAATATATTTAGTTGGTGGCTATTCAATTTGGACAAATGAGCCTTTGGCATGTATCCAGGTGAGTGATTTAGGTTCCTTTTGAAGTCTCCCCCAGTGGCTCTGCAAGGGTACTTTAAGCATAGCTGGTATTCAAAAAGGAAAATGTATTTGAAGCACAGAGATTAGGGATGTTTCTTATGCAGCCACCAAGCTCTCTAAAAACATGCATGGGAAATGTTTCAAGATCAGGTTCAGTACTTCTACACGTCTGCGGGTAATACAGACTGAGCAATGTCTTCTTGGACAAGATTTGGGTAAAAAAGTGTTTCTGTATTCCCAGCTGACCTGATAAAGGTCAAAGGTAAATGCAGAAATGAGGGAATACCCTAGTAATTTTTCACCTATTTCCCATTAATAGTTGCTAAAAGGAGACAGAAATAACCAGCTTTTCCAAGATCAAAATTTAGGCTGGAACTATGCAACCTAAGTCTGTGTTCATTACATCAGATTATGTTCAAAAGTGTCCTAAAGACCTCTGCTCTGATAAAGGTTCCTGCTGCTTTTGATCCCAGCATGATTTTCTGATGTGTTAGTGTCCACCATTATAGCAGCTCTGCTGTGAATCCATGGCCCATCAGGAAATTCCCCACACAGATGACACATGGAGATTGGTATTAGGCACGTTAATTCTTTTTTAATTTTCTCCATTTTTCTGGGAGAACCAGTGTTTTTATTGTAGAACAGCCAGTGATAGTAAGTCGAGTGAGGTATGTCAGAAAGCACCAGTTGCTTGGACTTCATAGACACCTTTGTCTTGTAAATTAAACTATGAAAAGTGTTTATTTTTGTCCTTTATTGTCCAAAAAATTACACTGTGTGGAACAAAAATGGTTCTAGAGGAATAGCATTCATTTTAATTGTTTCCATGAATTTTATTTAAAATAAATAACAAACAACCCTCTTTAAAGTTCTTAGTCAAGAATCTCTTGAAGACAGAAGTTTGCTTCTTGTTTGTTTCTGCCTACATCACATCCTTCTTGAGATCAACCTAGGTACTTTCAAGAATTAGCTTTCACACACACACCCCCTCTGTGCATCTCAGCAGAAGTTCGGCAACAAAACTTTTGCCAGCTCCTAGGCAAGGATTTTGAGATTTAAGCCAGAATTGAGATTGGCCCTTATGTACCTAATTGGCTTTGCATGCAGCCACAAAGCTCAGTAGGTACTTAATTCAATGTGTGCTTCCATTCTGGAGCCTATATACTAAGGCTTCTGCACTTAACCCCTGCCTAGGCTTCACTGCAACTGGGAGGCATCTCAAGTTTGTCTAAGCCCCTGAAAAGGAACCTGCCCTTAGTTTCATAGTTTCTAGGGTCAGAAGGGACCTGAACAGATCATCAAGTCCAACCCCTGTCCTGGGCAGGAACAAGTGCTGGGATCATAGTACCCCAGCCAGATATCTAGCCAACCTTCTCTTGAAGACTCCCAAAGTAGGGGAGAGCACCATCTCCCTTGGGAGCCCGTTCCAGAGCCTGGCAGCCGTAAGTGTAAAGTACTGTCTCCTGCTATCAAGCCTGAACCTGCTCTCAATTAATTTTTGGCTGTTATTCCTTGTTATCCCAGGATGTGACCAGGGGAACAGAGCCTCACCTATTTTGCGCTGGTCCCCCTGGTGGGTTTATAGATGGCCACCAGATCCTCTCTCAGCCTTCTCTTGCAGAGGCTGAATAGATTCAGGTGCTTTAGTCCATCTTCGTAGGGCCTGGCCATGTGAGTGGCCCTCCCCTGGACCCTTTCAATGCTAGCCACATCCCTCTTGAAGTGCGGTACCCAGAACTGGATGCAGTACTCCAACTGCGGCCTGACCAGTGCCACATAGAGGGGGAGGATCACCTCCCTGGACCTGCTCGATGCATCTGTGGATGCATAACAAGGTGCAGCTAGCCTTACTGACCGCTTCCTCGCATTGGCAGCTCATGTTCTTCCTTGAGTCAACAATGACTCCAAGATCCCTTTCTGCCACCATGTTGATACGAAGGATGTTCCCCAGCCTATAGGTGTGTTGCTGGTTCCTTCTCCCTAGATGCAGCACCTTGCACTTCTCTGCATTGAATCCCATCCTCTTCTCATCCGCCCACCTCTGGAACCTGTCTAGACCTAGCTGGATTCTGTCCCTCCTCCAGTGTGCTCACCTCGCCTCACATCTTAGAAACTACTCCTTACAGCACTGAATTCATCTAAAAGAGAACGATGGCTGTAGTGCTACCCACCTTGCGGCCAACAGCCTACTGGTTAGAGCACTTGCTCAGCAAGTGGGAGACCAGGGTTTGGGGCCTTCCTCCCTTAAGAATTTAAATCTGTATCTCCCAGCAAAGTCAGGCTATGGGGTAGCCTGGGGGAGTGCCCTCTAATCCTCCTGCTGCAGCTGAGAGACTGAGCAGGTAAGGCTACCACTTCCTTTGCAAGTGCTCTGGCAGACACCACCAGGCTACAGTCCTTAGATGTGAGGTTAAGTATCATAAGATAAGAGAAGCCCAGCAGACGAGAATCGCATGCTTAGGTCTGAGATCAAGCTGGGAGTTCAGGCTCAGGGCCATATTTAGCATGGTTGTTGGCTACTTTTAGGCACCTCTAGGCTTTCTGGCCTTTGATATTATTAACCACTCCCCATTCTCTGTAGAGCACCCAGGAATCCCTAAAAGCCCTTGATCAACTGAATCTGAGATTGCCTGAGAAGTCTACATGGTCTGTCTGAATTGCCTGCCACAGCTAGGAGCCTAATGCTTATGCAGTCATGCAGTAGGGGTCTGAGGAACTGTATGGCCCGTTATGCCAGACGTGCATGGCAGGTTGTGCAATCCTGGGAGTGAGGCATAAAAATCACCTTGGATCCCAATGATGGGACAGGCAGCTGCCAGCATGAGGGGGGCACCTACAGCTGGGAAGCATGAAGCTCCTGCTCCCGGGCTGCATGCCCTGCACACGTGGAAGCGACAGCTGGGGGAGCCAGGAGCTCCTGACTACCTGGGCGCCACTTCCATGGGCGTTTGGGAACATTAAACCCCCCCCCCAAAAACGGGCATGAAGCTGAGGCTCTGAGTATCGTGTCCACTTCTACAGGTCCAGGATGCCTGAGCCCAACATTAGGGAGCTTAATGTTGCACTTAATGTGGGTCTCTTAAGAAGTACATGTGCAAGTGAAAGTCCTAGCTGAATGTCTGCTTTGTTTTTCTCAGTTCCCTGGGGACTGTAAGCCCAACATTGGAAGAGGCTCCTGGTGTATCTATCCCATGATGCAGCTGTGGCTGGGGGAGCTCACCATCTCTTGTGCACACTGGTACCTGACACAAGCAGTGGGAGATGAGGAAGCTCCCTCATCCCCAGATGCTCATGCTGGGCATCTCTTTAAATGGGACCTAGCACCTTAAAAATCAGGGGCTGGAAGGCAAGACTCTTTAAGGCGCTGGGTCACAGGAAGCCCATATTCTGATGCAGGCAATTAGCTGATTGTCAGCATCGAGACAAGGGCAGCCCCCTGCTAGGTTTTAGATTGGGGGCTGTCCGCATCCCAGTGACAGGGCATGCTGTATGTTCAGTTTATGGAGCCATATAAACCAGCCACAAAGATGTTTCATATATTTTGAGTAGTATGTTTGTGGCTGATTTGCCATTTTATGGCACCATAAATTCGATGAACATGTGGCATGCTGCTATTTATGGCACAATTAACACACTAATCGTGCCAGAAATAAAATCAGTGCCAGGGCCTTAGGCAATGCAACAATTAAAATTGGTTCCTCAGATGGTTATTTGAATCCTTGGCCTAGTTCCCCAAACCATCCCAGCCACCCCATAGGCACTTTCTATCCCTAGGACACTAATGAAACACATTAATGGGGAAGGGGGTAGTGGAAATCACTAAGCGTCTAGATGACACTCAGATCATGAGCACTAAGTAGCAGGGATTTATAAATCTTGCAAGATAAAACAGATTTTTTTTTTTTAATGAGCAAAGGCCAGTTATGCGGTTAGTGTAATATTTTATTTTAGTGATTCATTCAGTGCCACATCTGAGAATCTTACTGGAAAAAATTGCCCAAGCTAGATTGAATTGGAACACTGACTGGAATACAGCGCATGAGATGCAATGCTAAACAGTGCTAGATCGAGTTAGTGAATGCACTCACACACTCTGGATGATCTATGGGTGCTTCGGGTTCTAATATTATTTTGATGACAAGCGAGAATGAGTTTGGGATCCTGCTTTCAAGCGGACATTTGTCCACATCACAAAAGCCTCCCCAGAACTGGCAGCCAGCCCAGGGCAGGCTCAGGATTAGAGTTAAAAGAAATATAACAAGTGCTTTGGCAGAGCTATATGTGTTGCCTACATCCGCTGTCAGCGGTTGGCATCATGCCTAGCTTTAGCCAATATGACTAGCCCTTTTATTTTCAAATTCAGCATGCTGCTTTCTCTTTCTGAAGAAATACACTTTTCTCTCTATGTCTTCTTTTACTCTTAAGTCATTCTTTCAGCCTTTCCAACTTTTTATAGAGTCCTTTTGCTCCTCTCAGTACCTCTTATTTGACAAATGATTCATACTTCATGGTAATAGTTTAGCTTCCCTAAACAGAGTTCTGTACTTGCATGGTTGCACATTGTGCAGCTAGGGAGTATGATCAAATGTCACTCTTTGCTATTAAGTGTGAGCGAAGATAAGTTTGGGGGGAAACAGAGGGTATAAACCACTTGATCCATATAATTTAACACTGAGGTGAAACTGCCTTTCCGTTGGGCAGAATAATAAAGGTGGACAGGATAGGCCAGCAAATCTGTTTCAGTGTTTTTTCTGTGAACTTTTCAACATTTTCTGCGTTTTGATCCCTCCAGGTGCTGGATGTTAGCAAGGAAGGAAAAGAAGAAGTATTCTACGGGCCTACACTTCCTTTTGCTTCCAATGGGATAGCAGCATGCTTCCTTCCAGCTCCTTACTTCACATGCCCCAACCTTCAAACTTTGCAAGTGCCTCACCACAGGATTGGCACTATATGAGGAAAGGAATACAAAGTTCATAACAGGAGAAGGGGGGAAACAGTACTTTTTGATCAAGCAAGAGAATTATTCAGTTTAAGCTGCTTCTTTGTCTTTTACACGTTTGTCTTAAAGTCAGCTAATGGTAGGCAAAAAGTAAGTATTTTTATCAAAAATGGCCCCACAGAAATCAGTCTGCACAGCTGCTTCCCTTTTCCACGTGTTAGGAGAATATACGTTTATGCCAATATATGACTGGCAATTTTTTTTACTGGGCAACAACTTGTTTTAAGTTCTTCATACAACTTTGACAGGCATTTTGAGGTGAGTGCCCTCAGCAACCTACCTGGGGTGTTGTTCTTTGGAGGCTGTGCATTCAGTGGTTTACCAGTGGCACTTTTCAAAGACATTACAATATAGTGTTAACATTGACAAGGATGACATAACACTATGCTAATTATGCAACTTAATACCTATGGCAAAAATGATAACAAATGCATTGACCTTCAGTTCCAAACCTCATTGCTACAGTTTTTCATTTACACAACTTTTGTTGAAATTCATAGATACTGTGAAGCTCATTTAAGCAAAAAAGAAAAAAAAAGAAAAAAAAGATATATTAAAAACATGTACAAAAAGACTGTGTTTGCTCTTACTATAAAGAAAGAGGGACTGCGGTTTCAGTGGCTATCATTGTATAAATCTTTTCTTAATCAGTTTGTCCAAGAAATGAAAGAAAGATCATTCTGTATGTCATTTACCAAGGTCTACTATTAAATAAATGTTATCATGCATCATGCAACCAATTCTTCCTGACAGATGCCGTCTTTTACTTTTCATGGTGGAGAATAACTTATTTACTATATAATTAAAATGTGCCGTTTACTTAATATTTTTAATACCCAGTTTGAAAAGGGTCACTACATTTACAATTATCAATAGACAGTCTCATTTTGCCCAACATATGGTCCCACAAATCACTAGCCTCCAGAGGCTAAACAGGTGTACAACAAAGTCAATATTTATTTATTTATTCTTTCAATTTATAAAGTATGTCTCTGTGCAATACTCTAGCCATATGTACAATTCACAGTAAAACTCCAAACCTATTGTCTGGCTACAGTAAACCCCTTTTGTCATATTCACTATTAATTTCTATATAAATTATAACATCAGTGTTTGTAAATATAAACAACATTGTTAAACCTCTTGCTATTGATGATTTACAGCCAGTGAATTCCTCTGACTTATTTTGTTAATTGTCACTCAGCATCATGATATCCGAGCAGATCTCAGACCATGGAATCCCTATTAATATTCATGGCAGTTCAAGGTGAAGAAATATATAATAGAGCAAGCCAGTACATTCTGGAAAGAAAACACTTTGTCCTTAGTCCAATGAGAGATGCTACTAGGTCAAATACAGTATAGATACAGTAAATAGTGGGATTTTCTTTTATCATTTCTCACTGTCAGAATCTTCTGCTTAAGAGCTGTACTTGGAACACGTAATATTTTTCAATAATTTAACTACGCAGATTTTGTTCTATAATGAATTTTGATGAGTATCCTTGACAGCATGAAGTTAGACAGGACAGAGGAACACAGTTGCATACTCTTCAGCAGGTATGATTATTTGGGCACTGACAATTTTCCTCTTTTGGGTCACAAATTGACTCTTTCACAAAAATAATTTGATCCAGGTATTTTCCCCAACTGCATAGGACACGCATCTGGCAGCTGGAAAGTCTCGTCTTGCTTTGCATTTGCCTCCTGGAGATCAGAATGCAGCAGCATTTCTCCATTCACAATTAGCATTCCTGAAAATCTACCCTGACTCCAGAGCCATCTCTGTACGCAAGATGCTGGATTCAGCCTTGATACTGTTTGGGATTCCCATGCATTTCTGAATATCTTTTAAAGACCACAAATATATAAAACATTGTATAAGTCACAGCCCTGTTTTTGTCCCAGTTCTGCACAATACTGTGCACTATCCCATTTCACAGAAGTTGGGAGAGTTAATTTCTTATTTTATGGGGTCCCAGACAAAAGCCCTGAAGAGATTTTCTACGCTTTGGCATGGCGATGGAGGTTTAATTCCTTGGACTCTCACTCCATTCTTGACAGTCTCCCATATGGCTGTGTAGCCAGAGTTGTGAAGTCATTAAAGTTTCCTTTGGAGGCAAAGGGGGGTTTTGACCATTAATCTAACAGGATGCTTCCCAAAGCCAGCAGGCTGCAAGCAAGGCCTCTGTTCTAGACCTAGGAATGGAGTTAGCTTCTTTATGCAAAATAGCATGTGCCATTTAGTTCAAGGACTGAAAAATAGGAGCGTATGGCAAGAAAAGGTTATTTATCATGTTTGCTCTGCCCTTTAGACACTTTTACTGTTCTGGTTGTTATCACCAATTGTCTGTACTAGTGAATAGCAGTTTTAAACAGCTGTGCAATTGCATTAAATTAGTTAAGGGTTCCATAGCCAGAGAGCCTCAGGATAACACATATGCTCCCATTAGTGTCAAGATTCTGTGCTGGCTCTTAATCATCCGACTCCAGCAATTGCGGAGAAGTCTTCCATGTCAGGCCCTTATCCTCTGTACCTCCCAACTTGTGCCTTTATAGTAGCTTAACTTAGAGGACCTACAAGCCTACACCTTACTCCGAGAGATGTGGACTTTGACTTAAACATGGAAGAGTTCTTAGAGACAGGTGAGATAGTCACTTAGGTGTTTCTAGGTAAGGAGGGAGATAATGATTTTAACTTGGGGGCATGGGCATGTCTTTTCCTTGCAACGGCGGGTCTGCTGCACTTCAGGAAAGATTCACTCCTGGAGATAAGCAGGTGACTACTAGGAGAAGGCATCTTTAACCAGGAGCTCTGTTCCTGTAGCAGCCCTGCAAGCAGAGGCTGCCCAGTTACCAGAAATGAATGAATCAGCTTCCTGTCAAACCCACCCTTTTGCAGGGGCTGGTGGGAGCCTTGTGCAGCCTGTCTCCAGCCTGGTGAATTCTGCACTCTTGGTTGCTCTGGCCCAACTTCTACCAACACAAACCCTGGAGTGAACCAGACCCTTCCTGTACTTCTGCAAAGTTTTAACCCTGGGTGCCAAAAGAACATCTGTACAGCTTCCCCCCTCTTACCCTTCCCCTGCCCCAAGAGCTTCAAGGCACATAAATAATCCCTGCAGTCGAAGTCGATATGTACTAAAGGTCTCACACACATCAATACACTGAAATTCTACCATCTTGGGTGTCTTATTCAAAAGGCAGCACCTCCAACAGCGCTCTGGCATTTCACTAAAAATGTTCAATGTTGGCACAGGAGAAAGCTGCAGATCACATGAACACCACTTTCAGTAGCACCATCAATTTACCTGGGAGCATTTCACATCCAAATACTGGCCAAAGGCATATTTAGACTTCATGACAAAATGAGGGGTAAAAAAAACAGTCCCATCAATACAATTAATGTATATTTAGGAAAAGTTCAGCTGTCCATCTAGTTTCTGGTAGTTTATTTATGACTTACTAGTTTACCCAGATTCAAGGGAGAAAAAAAAAAAAAAAAATCAAGAATGTAATTCTATTTCTCTTTATTTAGGCTTTAAGTGTCCTTCTCCTTCTCCCCCACCACCCCAAGCCCCTCTTGACAGTACAAACATTTAGTACATCAGTTGCAGAATCAGGAAGAGATAGATAATTGAATATTCACACATGCAGAATTAACACAGGCAGCATGTGGAAAATGTGGAAACAAGCGCGAAAAGAGGCGGCATCTGTTTACTGGAAATTAGAATGTAGAATAAATTAAGGGAAGGTTAAAACACTTCATCTGCAGTAAGAGTTTGGAGGGAAGAAGACCTTGCAAGAACTCTGGAACGTAGATTACATAAATGGCTTAAACAATTTTGTTTCAAGGAAAGTAACTCTGTTTCTAAATAAAACATTTTTTATGAGAGGAGCAGAAATGGTGTCAATATACAATGACATTTTCAATAAGATGATCAGAGCTACAATAGTTTGTGATATAAGAACTCAAAGGATTAAAACTGTACTTCTGGGGTTTTGTAAAATACGTTGTAATACATGAAGAAATGAAAATACAAAGTTCTTCTGCAGGAGCTTTGCTCATGTAAAGCAGTATATAGCAACATCCCACCGACTGCAGAAAATGGAAGTTTCATCAAAACAAGATTATGTATCCTGTCTTCTGTAATTCCTTAATGAATTTAAGGAAATGTCGTTTCATTTTCTAATAAAATAATGTTATGCATCTTTAAGAGACATGTGTATGAATAATAACAACTGAAGCATAAACTTACAATGTGCGAGTTTCATTTACAGGACTTCCTGTGAAAGGTTTTCATGATACCCAGAATTCAATATGAAAGCCAGGACCAAGATGATGATTTCATGTTAAACTTTCCATTGAAGTGGATGAGAGGGAAATCAATTTGCAATTGGCAAATATGAGGTATTAATTTGATAAAAGGATAAATAATATAGTGTCATTCTGTAGAGATATAAAAGGTTGTTCTTTTCCAGGCACTGTCTGTGGGAAGAATATGTTGGACATATAGTTATGACAATCTAACAAATATAGTTATTAAGTCTCAGCCCTAAAACTTGTTTTATGAGAGCTCTGGGCAGGAAAGAAAACTACAGATCAGGATACAGGATCACAGCCTTGGATAAATGTTGTTTTTTACTCATGCAACAGAACAATTCCATCCCCCTTTTTTGGGGGGGGGGTCTAATAAATTTATGACAAAAGTCATCTCCTAGCCACATGTTTCCATCTCTTCTAAAATAATTTCTCAGTTCTGCTATGATGTATTGACCCAGTTCTGGATTTTTCATTTTCAGCTCCTAGTATACTTTTTTAACTATTGATACCAGACAGACTGATTACACCCATTTTAAAAAACAGAGATAACTATTTAAATAATAAATTATACACTAAACTGAAATTTTTTTTAGAGGTTACAGAAGAGGGAGAGAGCTGGGGGGAAGAACTGCAGTAATATCTATTATCTATTTCCTGAGGGGAGAAGTCCCATTTAGAAGGACAGTTATGGAAGTTTTCATAAATGACCATTAAAAAGTTATGTATGTTGTTGGTAGCTCAAGTTTGGTATAATTACAAATACTGTGCAAAGCCTTACTGTTCTGCATGTGTCTGTTTCTTCATGCTAGCATAAAATGGTAAAATTTTCTATCTAATGAGAGGTCTCATTAACTTTATATTATGAAATATAGTATCTTCTCACCTTAATTTCTTTTCCATGAAAATGGAAGTGAGGCATACATTTAAAATACATTACTCCTGCTCTCAATAACAAATTGACATATTTACAATTTTTTGATGGTCATTTCCCTGGGATTGAAGGAAGGTAACGAGAGTGTTGAACAGTGCTCTTTTCCTTCCCCTTTTAAAGTAAGTTATTTGGTTTCAAAACAAAATAAAATTCTACTTTTCCTTGTGGTGCCTAGGATTCACGTTCCATAGCACAGTCAGGATAGAGAGAGGCAATTAGTGACCTTTTTAAAGTTCTCAATGTTACGCATTTCAGAGAGAAAACAAGGTGAACACGCAGTCCAGAACTATATTAACTGTACCATAGCAGACGTTAAAATAGAAAGATGTGTACATGAGGCCTTTGTAATACTGACAGCAGCACTTCTGCCAATTTTCTTCCTCTCCTCCCCTCTCCCAAAGAAAAAGGGATGGTGAAAACTTTTAATGAGCCACTGTGGCAGTCCTGATAACTTTTAAGCAGAGATTTAATATTTTATCAAAATTCCAGTGAAACATGGCAGTGGTGATTACAATCATCTCTGTGCGGGTGGTGGTCAATTATATCATAAATGCCTTAGTTGCCACTATTGCTCTCATAAAGTGAGCTGGACAAAGCTTAGGAGTACATTACAAAAATCTTTCTGAATTCCATCAGCAACCCTGGCTACAATCTGACTCTCAGGATTTTCTTCTTCTTGATTATGGAAATAAGTTACAAATGATATAAAAGTCCAACCCCTGACGGAAAATTACTTGAGCAGTATAACATGCAATACAGAGAACTTTTCTCTCCCTTATACACTTTGGATTTGCAGTGCTGTTAATGGGGAAGCGTGGTTCCACTAGAGGACTGCAAAGGGGTAAACCATGGTAAAAAAACACAAAGGTGGCATTGAGGATTAAAGCCTAGCTTTACCAAGTGGTAATGGGTGTCTAACTGCCACCTAGGAGCCTCATTTCAATGTTTGGGCATCAATGAGATCCTCTTCAGTTACCATCAAGTCCCTTAAGTTTCTGTTGCTAGCTCCAGGCACAACCACTCAGGTTTTCAGAGAACACCCACCAGATTGAACCTTGCACGACAGACAGGAATGAGACATTTTGGGGCAGGGTGGGGTGAAGTCTATCCCAAAGCTCAATGGTTACAGTGTCTTTATCTAGGAGAGGAGAGGCCTGTTTTTAAAATCACAATTCTGCCTAATTTGGAGCTAGGACTTGGACCTACATCTCACTTCGCAGGAAAAGGACCAAACTATCAAGCTGTTAGATATGTTGGAGTGAACATCACTTAAGAATATCTGTAGTCTGGTGGTTAAGACATTTTTTGGGTGGTGGAAGATGTGGGTTTGAATTCTCTCAGGCTGCAGCAGGAATTGAAACTAGGTTTCCCTCATCCTGGGAAGTATGGTCCAATCACTAAAGACTTATGCCCCATTCCTCTTTTCATCATTGGCTAGCTCCATGCTTAGGGTTTTATAGATCTCAATCTTAGGCTCCTACCTATCCCCATGCACTATGCAGGGAGCCCGCGTTCCTCACTCAAGTATTTCAGAAGGGGGGTAGGTTAAAAATTGTCCTACTCACTGCTGTGACACCTAAGGGGCCAGCTCTGGAAGTTTTTAAGGTAAAGCACTAACAAGGATCTTCAGTCCATTAAAGCCAGGACACTGGGGCTGGTAGGTAAGTATGACAGATGTGGTCCATTGCTCCCACTCAGAGAGTTATGGCTCATCTGATTCACCAAACACACAGGCCAGGCTGGCCCACAATCAAGGGGACTGTGAGGGTAACTGCAGAGAGTTCCCATAAACACCTCTTCCATGTACTGTCTAGCTTGCTTGGGATCTCTGTTGCTCATAGCTCCATGTGCAGGTGATTAACAGCTTTCAAGCTGTTCAACAGGCTTTTTGCTATTGAAATATTTTGGTGGAATATCTTGACCCTGCATAATACTCTATAAGCCTTGTTGTCATTCATATTATCAAAACTCAGTCACATCTCCACCTGCCTATACCAAATTATTAGACCAAACCAGACTGTCCATTTGCAAGTGGTTGACGGAGATAATGCAAAATGCTTTATTTCTGTTTGTATTAACTTTTTGATGGAGAAGAATGATCATGTCCAAACTGTTTAAATTAGCTTCTCATGCACTAAGAGCTGTGTTACATTTGCATAAAGCTTTGCTGCTGTTTTAAAAACTTTCAGGTACTGCAGCCAGTATTAAATATGCCTTTAAAAACCCACTAAACACATCATTAAACAATTTGTTACAATATCTTCTCTATCTGTTCTTTAAAAGTCAAAGGCTTTACTTTCAGGAAGTGATACTACAGTCAGACATCTGTTCTGTTATCTACGGTGTGGTAAGACTCAAATTTCGAAGGCATCTCTATTAATCTCACTTGGAGGTTTTTTTTTCTTTTTTAAAAACGTTTTTTGGAGGCAAATCCTCTTGAGATGAATAAAACTCCTCCCAGGTGCAGAAGCTTACAAGAAGCTACAATCAGGTTCAATAAGTCACTTTCATAATGAAAAGAACCTCCATGTTCTGCACTATTAAGTAGCCTAAAGAGGCTTTTAGTTACTGCATTATCTGAAGTAACGATAGCTGATTTAGGGAAAAAGATTATCTATTTCTACTTGATAAGATTACTGTAACGAAATAGAGGCTGCTCTGAATGAGATTTTAGGGACGTTTCTGGAGCTGAAGCTGTTAGACACAAAAGTAGCTTTTCCTTCCCATTAACTCTGTAAAGTTAAGAGTTTGAATAACTTTAAAAGTAGGTATGTGGTTCACTGATGTTGCCAGGAGGTGCACACTTACCACGTTCACAGTCTACAAAGAAGTCTTAAAAATCTGGGTTATTCAGTCAAGTGAAAAATTGAACAGCACCTTAAATAAAGTTTTAAAGGCACTTGGAGGGGAAAAAATAGAGAAAGGTCCAAGAGATAACCAAGGACACTGAAATATTTGAGAAGCCTGACTTGCCTGGTGCCCACATTTCAACGGTTTAGGCTTACATGGTGATTAAGATCTTGAAATAAGTTCCACCAAGTCCATAAGTTCCACCTTCCCATTATACTTGTTTTAAATTAAACTGCAGAGAACGAGGTTCACACATCAAGAAACCTTACAATCCTAGTACACTTTTTTTGGGGCGGGGAGGGGTTACAGGATTTTTCAGTTAGTTATTTTAAATCCAGGAAAATTACTATTCAGTCAGGGTCAGGGAGCTTCTTATTATTCAAGAACCTGAAACTTGCTTTCTGCACAACCTCCCCCACCCAGCAGAGAGGTTTTTAGGTTGGAATTTGCAAGACCTGAACATTTTCAATACAGGAGCAAGGTTACGACACCTGTCTCCATTCTATACATACAACCCCTTCTGTTAACATAAGATAGCTCTAACACATTGACCTGACCCTGACCCAGCTCTTGGGGAATGTGCTGCACTCACTGAGCTCAGCGTACTGCCACAGAATGTCTTTGTAAGAATATCATACACCGACTGCTGGGTATAAAAGCCTACAGTCTGACCCCTCCCCAGAGCTCTACACATTTCTACACAACGTGCTTTCTTTTGGTCTGCAAAAACAAGTTTTCCAATAGAAAACTGGATGTTAACATTTTCTATAGAACACAGTTAGTAGGGAGTTTCAAAAACGTATTGTGAGAAGCACAAAACTCACTGAATCTTAATTAGATTGGTGCCAGGTGCACTTGAAAATGCACCAAATAGGTCACAGAAGACTCTTCGTATCTATTTAATATGGATGTTTCTAGTATTTAATGAATTTACACATCAGTTGAAAGACAAAATATTTGGAAGTTCATCTTCCCATCTGTGATAATAGTTAAATTCTACGTAAGTTATTGGAAGAGCAGCTTATAAGTTTGAAAAAAATTAAACAGGTGAATAGATTCCACTTGCAAAGATAAAGAATTTGGATTGTGTACAATGTGGGATTATTCCAGGCAGGGACAGTGTGCAAACATTCATGGGGAAAGAGCTATATCACCACCACATTGCTAACTTGTCTCATTTTCCAGTTTTAGTATCTCATTTTGTCCAGCCGCTGTGAGGTGAGATAAGAGTCTTTTATAGGCTTCTCTGTTAAGAAACAAAAGCAGATAGCAAGTTAGTTAAACAATCTCACAGACCTTACGGATAAAAGCACATCATTCCCAAACAGACTATTTACATAATGTAATGTAAAACCAAATGAACTACTTCTTTTAGTATTTACGCAACTGCTTTGTATGCTATGAATTTTTACCAAGTTTGGTTAAAAGGCAAATGGGGAGTGAACAACAGTGATTTGGACGAGGGGGTCCAAAGCACCCTGTTCAAGTTTGCTGATGACACTAAGATGTGGGGGGATGTGGGCACAATT